TTTGGTCGACTCACTAGAAAGCGAATCGAGGCTCCGGACCCGTGGGGCCCGCCTGCGCTCGCTGCCCTCCCCAGGCGCACGGAACTCCGCACGCGGCTGCTCGGCGTCGGCTCGCGCCGCGGAGAGGTCGCTGGGGTCGCGCTGGGCACCTCGCGACGCCGCCCGCCCGCAACAGCGCCCGGCGGCCGCTCTCGTGCAGCGACAAGTTTGCGAGCACCGCCGACGCCGCCTCGGCCTCCTCCGCGCGCCTCGAGCCGACGAGGCCGACGAGCAGTGGCACTCCCCCGCCGGCGACGATGGCGGCGGCGATGTCGAGGTGTACCGAGAGGTTGGCGAGCCCCCTCGCGGCGTGCGTCGCCGTCGCGCTGCTGCGGGCGCCGCATCGCCCCTCCGCGGCGAGAAGCGCGAGCAGCGCCTGCGCGCCTCCGGCCGCGGCGACCGCTACCTTCAGGTCGGCGGCGAGGGAGAGGCGGGAGAGCGCGGCGGCGGCGGCGGCGGTGATGCGGTCTGCGGCGCACTTGGAGGTGGCAGGGGCCGTCGCTCCGTCGCGCACGGAGGGGGAGAGGAGCCCCGGTCCCGGTCCCCACCCCGCGCTGCTGCCGCTGTTCCGGCCCGGCGGTGGCAGCCCGGCGCCACCAGGCCCGCACGGTGCGGCGGGGTCGGCGGCCCTGCAGAGCGCGACGAGAGGGCCGACCGCGCCGGCGCGCGCAGCTGCGGCGCGGCCTTCCGGCGACCCCGCCAGGTTGGCGACCGCGGCCGCGGCCGCCTCGCGCGCCTCCTCCGAGGCGGGAAGCGGCTCCCGGCTCCCGAGCGGGCCGCCACCGCCTCGAGGTGCTCGCAGGAGCGCGACGAGACGCGGCATCGCCTCGGCGGAGAGGAGCGCATGCTGCCCGGCGGGCCCGAACGACAGGTACCGCGCCGCCTGCGCGGCCGCCTCGCGTGCCTCGGGCGGAGCGAATACTGAGAGCGCCGCCGCCAGTGCGTGCGCGCCCCCCACCGCTGCAATCTCATCGCGCCGCATCGAGTCGGCATGATCGTCCAGCAGCGCACCGGCGCGGTCGGCGGCGGCCCACCCACCATGCGCGTCGATCGCCGCCTGATTCTGCGGCGCGCACGCCAGGTCGCGTAATGCAGCCGCCGCCGCGACGACAGTCCGGCGGTCGAGCTGGTCGCAGGCTACACCGAGAGCGTGCACCCGCAACTCCACGTCGGACGGACCGCCCCGCCCGTTCTCGCTGTCCAGGCCTTCGTACCAGAGCTCCTCCTCCTCCGCCGACGGCAGGCAGCGTGAGAGCAGCGCACAGATGCCGCTCATTGAGAGAGAAGCGCCCCGGCCGTGCGGATGCAAAAGGGGGGCTTCGAAAATGACCCATGGCGTGCAACCCTCTCAGCACTGTAGCACGAGCACTGGATAGGGTCGATTCCGCATGGTACGGGACCCCATGAACACCCCTGTGCATGCCGTCCGCCATATGGGCTGCCCCTGTCAGCAGAGCAGAGTGGCCTGTAGGTTCGCGCGTGTCGTCGTCTTCTGTCTCGCGTCCACCCATACCGAGAGAGAGATTTTTAGCAATACCAAACAACTCTAACACTCACACGTCATTTGGGGCCTGGAGCCCTGTTCACGCGCGCGCGAGACGTGCAGACAGGAGGGTTGCCAGGTGAGAGCGAATGGCGCGGTTCACGCCTCGCACAACAGAGAGAGAGATGCGCTCTGTGCAACAAATATTGCTAAAAATGTATGTTTGTCACTTTCATCTTAAAGAGCTCCGAACCCTCCACTGCCGCTGAACCTTCTTTTCTAGAGACTAGACGGCTAGGATTGAGAGCAGCCTCGCCCTAGAAAGTCGAAGGATTGTGAGCACCGAGAGAGAGAGAGAATTCTTGATACGAAACCACGACGACACACACCAGTCGACTCGCATCGGTTGCCTCCATGAACGGCGGAGCTATTCTCGCGCCCACACCACACCTGGCTCCAACGTGGACACGCCCATAGCTGGGGACACTACTAGGTCACGCATGGCATCACAGAAGTTTTATCTCTGGGCCCCGAAAGGCATCTCTAGCAGTGTCGTTACACATGCCCCCTCCCCTCCTGGGCGCATGCGCCTCACGTCTCGCCAGAGCATAAGCCCTTGGCGTGTGGCGAGACGAGTTTTTCGCCATCGCAGCGAGCAGCAAGCCGCCCGCCGCAAACAGCCGGAGGCCTCGCCGCGGCACTGGCTGCGCCGCGGTCCCGCACCCGTCGACGCAGCTCTCTCTCTCTCTCTCTCTCTCTCTCTCTCTTGTGAGCACCCTGAGCAGCACTCCTCGCAATCGTAGCATCTCTATTGCGAGCCGGTCCCCTCGCAATCGGTGGGATCACTGACTCGATTCTACATGTACATGTACCTCGAATTCTTCCACCCCCACGACTCGGAACACGAATGTGACAGGACCATCGGGTCCTTCAGCCACCAAAGCGAGATCACAATAAACAGCTGAGCCTGCCTCTGGCCTCGCCTCCCTCTCCTTCAGGCATTCGTGGCATCCTATGCGCTATGGGTCGTCCAGAGTATCGACCTCTGTCTGGCTTGCCATCTCGCTGGCCTCTCCGCAGGGCCCCCCGACCGCGTCGAACCGATCGGCGCGGGCTCTCTCGGCTACGGGACCGGCCCCAGCTTCGGCTGAGGGCTAACAAGCTGCCGAGCCCAAATCACTGTGAGAGTCGTGATTTCTTGTTCGTTTTCTAAAATCTCTCTCTCACACGCACCGCACGACACCACACGCTCTGTGTGACACATTTCTTGTTGGCTTCTAAAAATCTCTCTCCACACGCCACCGCGCGCGCGCTCACACGCGTGCCGTCCTCCCTCCCTCCCTTCGGGTGTTTCTTTTCT